GCGCAGGAGCCGCGGGGCTTCCGCGCAGGAGGTGCGGCCCCCCGAGTCGCCCACTGCTGCTCGGCCCCGGAGGGCTGGCGAGGGTGAGGGTGCGGTGAGGGTGAGGGGGGCGCACACGTGGGGACAGCGCGGGTACAAGACTCACATTGGACGGATGTCGTTGAGACTCGGACGAGAGGACGCCAGGCCCAGCCACAGGGTGTTACTCCCACCCAACATTTTAAGAAAGAAGCACGTGACTTCTGTCGGCCTCCGACGTTTCCTGGAACTGATTTCTGCTCTGAACCGAACTCTTCACCAACTCCGACGCTGCATCACGTTCGTTTGCGTCTGAGCTCAGAGCATGTGAGGAGCAGACCCGGAGTCTGGGACCCTGAGAGGGTTGCGCTGGGTGGCACGGGGGGCGGGGTGGCCCCTGAAGACCTTTCAAGCCCTTCACAGGCTTTCCTCGACGGGACTTTGTGACGCACCCTCACTCCTAAATGCTCACCGGTTCTGTGCGTGTGAATCAGCCTACTGGCTGATTGTCCTCCAGACAGCTCGGGGCCTTCCCAGTCATCCACGGACGTGAACCACCTGGGAGGCATTTGAATTGCTCGATGGTAGGATCCCCACCAAGGGCGACGCTCCAGCCTCACGTCTCTGACTCCGTCTCTCCTACAGGGGAGACCAGAAGACGGAGAGGCAGCGCCATGGCAGTGCAGGGAGCTCTGCCTGTGGTGTGGTTGGAAGGGATTTGAATCCTGTTCCTGCACCTGAAGGACAGGCGACTTCAGACAAGTCACTTAATGCTTCTGAGCCTCATTTTTCCTTGAGCATATCTCCCAGGAGGAGCTGGCTTGGGGTTTGAGACCACACACCCTGTGTCAGTGCACACACACCCCTGGGCCATGGCTCAGTGTCACCGACTTAGTGCTCATGGTGACTTTGTAAACTACTGCAGATCACAGGACTCACCTGACTTTCACTCTGACCGTCGGAAGAAAACCAAAGCACTGAGATCCTTCCAGGCGCATGTCTGCTTCCTGTGGCCTGAAAAGTGATATGAATTGGAATTTTCAGCAAATCTGTAACTGAAAAAAGGTTTATAATCTTTAAGTTTTTGTTGCATCCTCTCCTCTTAGGTGTGACAGTGACACCTGTCATGTTGCAATTTCTGGCATTGACGCGTATTTATTCTGCTTGCTATGTTGCTATTTTTGTCCTTCACAGAGCGAAAGCTACCGGGAGTCTGTGTGAATCAGAATTGTATGGAAAACCCAGTCATTTAACAGGTACTTGTTAAAATTGTCTCCTCTTCTTCAAGTGAGTGAAGTGTCTGTGTCCGTGGAGACATGGCGAGTCCCACAGGAATGCCGTCAGGAGGGGCAGGCGTCTGGCTGAGCGGGGGGCTGGAGGCTGCGGTCGCTGCTCACCCACCTTCTCTGACTCCTGACAGGAAGGGGCGATGGGGAAAACAGCATTTCCGTGTTCAGGGCACCAGCGGACGCCTGCTGCTGGGCCCGGGTTCCAGCCCGGGTCCCCTGCCTGTGCCTCAGGGGCCGCCCAGATCTTGTCTTTGACCCCGAGGGGGCCGCAGGGTAAGTGGCTCAGTCACAGCAGTCTGGTGGCCTTGACCACAGCAGCTAAACCTCTCTCTTGGTGGGACATGGTGACATGCAGAGCACACCCACACACGCTTCTTGCCTGGAAGTTCACACATGTGGGGATTGGCCAGGGTCAGTGGGGACTGTGGCTGTAGCTCTGCCCGTGGCCTGGACCTAGGGTGATTGCCCATCCCCGCCCCATCCTCCGTCCTCACTTTTGTTCAGAACCCTCTCTTCTCCCTGCCCTCCCACAGCCCTCACCTGCCCCCAACCCTGGGCACTAGGGAGGCCATGGGAGGGTCACGTTCAAAAGGGAGGAGGCTGGCCTGGTGTCACAGGGCTGTGGACGGCACAGAGCAGCCCTTGCAGGGTGGCCAGCACCACCCTAATTTAGTGCCTCCCCTTAGAGACTGCACTGGTGGTCCATCGCTGTCCTGCTTTGTCTGACGGGCTTCTCTTCCTGCAGGGACGGGGGAGGAGAGGTGCTTGGGGGGCTGCTGAGCGGCTCCTTGGGACTGAGGGAGCGGAGAGACACGTACATGTCCAGCTGCCGCCTCGAGACACTAGGACCCACGAAGCACCTGAACTGGAAATCCGGTCAGGACAGCGGCGCTAAGCTGAAGCTGGAGCCCAGCCAGAGCGACCCGTTCTCTGCGCATGCCCCGCCCCATGGCGCCTGCCTGCCTCACCCAGGCGTGCAGGGCACCATCCAGGCCAGCAGCGCTGTGTCCTTCAGGAACTGCCCCGGCTCTCACCCCCCAAAACATCCCCCAGGTGCCTGCGCCGGCCGGACCAGCAGAGCCTTGCAGGATGGCCATCAGGGCCAAATGCACCCTCCTGCCAGCTGCCCCTTCCCCCAGGGGAGCCTGGACAATGGGCACCCTCAGCAGGGAGCGCAGTGTGTCCCACCAGGTGGCTATCCCACTGAGGACAAGTTGCGAGGTGTCCCGATGCCTATGGGAGCCCTGTGCAACCCCCTGTCACTCGATGTGCCCATCAAGATGGAGAGTGACTCTGGGCCCGAGGACGCAGCAGATGGCTACTCTGTGTCCCCAAGCCAGGTGTGGCTGGGGGCCGGCGATGTGGCCAAGAGACAGCTGGCCACTTTCCCGAGCAGGATGCACCTGAAAACAGAGCCGGACTCCAGGCACCACCTCTGCAGTCCACACCTGGGGCCCGGCACGCTGGGGGCCCACCCTAGGCCCAGCAGGGAGCTGGCCCCGTTCCACCCCTCACGCTGTGCCTGCCTGGGGCCTCCAGCCCGCCTCTGTGTGCGGGGCCACCAGCCCCCTGCTCCGGGCTACGACGGCAGAGCTCCTGGGGCCACGCCTGTCGTCAAACGCGAGCCCTTGGACTCTCCCCCGTGGGCTGCTCCCAGCCAGGGCGGAGCGCCCGGGATGTTCCCCAGCAGTGCCTTGGCGACACGGAAGCCACCCAGAGACTCCATGTGCGCGTTCCTGCCGTAGAGCGGGCGTTTCTGAATGCTGACATCTGTCCAATACGGATTTACCCCCTGGCGGGGACAGCAGGTGCAGGGCAAGAGCCTGTCCTGAGGGAGGCGCTGCAAAGCTGCACGTGCAGCAGCTTTCTGTATCTTGTGAAATGTCAGCGAAGTTCTGAGATGTGAAGCGGCCTTACGTCTTTGCGAGTCTGACAGCACTGCACTCTGAGGGTTACAGGTTTTCATAAAGCATCCGAAGTGAGCCGTGCGGCCTGGCCGGCAGAGCTTCCCGTCCCGAGGGCGGCAGTGGGTGCCGGCCTAGCCGGAACCGTGCCGCAGGTGCAGCTCCCCGCCCCCCACATCCACGTCCCAGCTTCCCTGCCTGCGCTGTGAAGGCAGGTTGATGCCCCCATGGTGCGGACCTCAGAGAGCACACACCCTGGGTGTCCCGTGGCTGAGACAGCAAATTAGGAAAAAAGCTCCCTGAGCTGTAGGTGACTGTGTGCCTGCTCCTGGGAGGAACCTAGGAGTTCCAGGCAGAAGAGGCTGTCAGCGCCAGCCCTGCGCTTCATCACAACGTGCAGCGTGTGCCCAAGACTCTGGGGCGAAGGCTGAGGCCGTGCCCAGGGTGAAAACTGGCCGGATAACATCCTGTTTCTGCAGAAGTCTCTCTGGTGTTCTCAGTGGGCCCCTGGAATGGTTCATGCTGAGCTGTCTCTCACTACGTCACGTAACCTTGTTTACAGAGTCTCGATTTGGCGGAACAGAGAAGCACACGATGTAGAGAGAAGCGGCAGCAAGTCCAGCTGCCTCGCTGCCTTGCTGACTGTCTACAGTTTTTCAACTGAGATTTCCAGTCATCATCCCAGGAAGAATTATTAGAGAAAAGGCAGACAGGTAATGTTTTATTTAAAAAAAATGTAAAGCCTGACAGATTCTGAGTGTAGGAAATTTGGATTCAAAAGCAGAAAGTAAAGGCCACCCACAGTCACCACCAAGAGATGGCTCATGACTGAGGGCAAAGTTCACACACCTTCTGGGGTGACCCCGCCCCATGGGCGCAGTGAGTCCAGGACATGACAGCAGGGGACAAAACCACCGCCGAGCAGGAGGCTGGTTCGGGGTCCCTCGTGGCTGGGCCCACCTGTGCTGGGGTGGGAGACCCCTCCCCCTCACAGAAGGGGCATCTGTCCTCAGTCACCTCCATTGGGGTCTCGGGAGGTGGGAGCCCCAGGGAGGGGGACTTGCGGCTCCACATGCTTGGGGGGGCTTGGTGTCATCTGTGGCGTTGGGGTGTCAGTGTTCTGCTCCTGGGTCAGTGCTGATGCTGTTTGGTGTGTGCGCGTCTGCCTCGTCAGACTCAGGACCGGACTGGTGGGACTCAGTCTTCTAGACGCGCAGGCACAGCCCCCGTGCCCCACAGCTGCCTGCTCCGTGGGAGGGCAGGCGGGGGCTGCAGGTTTCTCCCCAGGACTGATGGAGGAGCCCCGGGTGGAAGTGGTCCATTTGTCACCTCCTGGGACTCCCAGAGCCTGCTCTTCATGTCTGCCCAGCCCACGGGGGCCAGAGTGACACTGGTGCTGTGCTGTCCCCACCCCAGCCGCCAGTCTCCCCTCACCTGTGGTGACGGCAGCACAGCCTCCCGTCAGGGCCACCTGCTTCCCACCCTCGCCCCATGCTCCGCAGCACTCGCAGTTCGCACACCGAGCACAGCACACTTTCTAGATTTAATCCCTAAGATGGGGGGTGGTGGGTGGAAACCACCTTCCTTCCTTCCTTCCTCCCTCCTTCCTTTCTCCCTTCTTCCTTCCTCCTTCCTCCGTCCTTCCTTCCTCCTTCCTCCTTCCTTCCTGCCCCCCTGCCACCCTCCCTATTCAGACCAAGTGTCCAACTCCTCCTGGGAAGACCCACACCGTCAGTACCCATCAGCCTCTTTGGAGCTCCGGGGTAAAGACTCCCGCCCGTGTCCTCGTCCTCACCCTCAGTACCAGGCCCAGGCCAGCGCACGGGCAGGTCGTGGGATGCACCGAGCGTGAGGCCTGCCCCGCCTCGTCTCAGGGAGCAGCAGACAGGAGGCATCACGTGTGTGGAACACGTCACCAGGAGAACCCTGGACCGGAAAGACCGAATAGAGAGACACCGTTGCATGTTTGCACACTGTAGCCAGATCCCAGCGTAACCAAGGAGAGATGCAGGTGTGAGCCTCATGTGAGGAGAAGCCTTTCTAGGGGGCACACAGCCGTCCCCGCCCGCGGGGACCACAGTGCCGCGCTGTGCTGCCTCCTCCCTCAGGTTCACGTGCAGCCGTCTGTGCCCACTCTCCTGGGACCACGTGCACCAAACAAGTCACAGCTGGTGGGCGGCCGGGTCATGCGTTGCTGATGTAGCATCTGGCCACCAGCTCTGCAGGGTCTGCATTCTGGAGAGGCCATCGTGCTTGGGGCCCAGGTCCTGGCACGCCCTGGTCCCTTCTTCTGCTGGGTCGGTTGCAACAAAACTCACCCCAGTCAGCACTTTTGTTCTCTTACAGCCATGCCCCTCCTGAAAAATTGTGTGGGGGAGGAATGCAGAGGGCCAGATGTGGCCATCTCTGTAGATGTGGCCATTTCACTTTAAAATGTCACTATTAGTACTAAGTACAGGCTTATGTTTTTTTGTTGTCTATAGCTTTTGCCTATACAGCTGAAAAAATATTAAATATTATGTAGGAATGGGATGGAAAGGAGATAAGTACAAATTATATTTTCTATTTTTGCAGTTTCTACTGGAAGAAAAAGTTTTCAATACCCAGACTGACTTGTTGAATTTTTTAAAACGGACACACTCTAGTGTAACCTTTTGTGCTGTATTCTCAGTGCCTTTAGAAAGAGCTTCCAAATACATTTCCGATGCTAAGGTTTGTATTAAGTTTGCAATATTGATGTAAAATAAAGGTTAGTACACGTAAGTGGAAACATCTACTTGATTCTCCAAATGAAATCACTCTGTTTCCTTCAAAGTGTGTGTGGGCCAGTTAACACTCCAAGAGCGTCCTTCAGCTCTCAGTGGGGCCTTGTGGACACAAAGGAGGTTGACAGCCCCTGGCCACGCCCTCCCAGCGGCACTTTCTCAGGCACTCTCCCTTTCCCTCCAGCCCCACTCCTGCCCATCACTGAGGGCAGGGGGCCTTCCCAGGTGTCTTCAGGACACCCCAGACCCCACTTGTCCTGTGGGGAGCAGAGCCTGGCCCCGTGTTGTGCGTGTTTTGGGGGGACCCTTGGGGTCAGCCCCGCCCTGCCCAGGCCCTGGTGACAGGTGCATGGGAAGGGGCAGGGGGTCATCAGAGACCCCCTCAAGACCAAGGGACATGTGTTTTGTTTCCTCGGTTTGGTCAAAGAGCACTCCCAAAACTGAATACATTTCTAGTGCCCTGAGCTCGGACCTGCTCTGCTGCTGCAGGTGGAGCCCTGGCCTCCTTCCTGCAGCCCTGCAGGCCACCACCCTGGTCCTTACTCTGAGACTCCCGTGTCCTTCCCAGGGGAGACCAGGCCAACCTGCCCCCATCTCCTGGGTCTAACCCAGCTGTTCCCCATCCCGAGTGGCCCCCACCCAGCTTGCCCTCCCCTGCACCCTCCCTGTCATCTGTGGCCTTCAGACCCATCTGTGTGGAGACCTGTAGATGGATGTCACTCATTTTTGCTCCGTCACATGACTCTACCACCACCTACCCTGTTACTGCTGATGGCTTGTTCCCCAGGCATGTGCACAGTGGATGGGGACAGACAAGTGACCAAAGAACCATGCAAGTTCTGTAAGGCATCAGAAGGGGATGGGTGCTGCACAAATGGATTAGCTGGGGTCTTGTAGCCCAGGTGGTGGTTTTGTGGGCAAGGCAGCCTTTGAGCCTTGACAGGAACAGCAGACGGGGTAGGGATGGAGATGGCCTGTGGGCTGGAGCCAGAGGGTGAGGAGAGGGTGGGGACGGGCAGGTCTGAGTGAGAGGGGATCAGGGCAGGGCTTCCAGTGGAAGCAACCCTGGGCTGTGGTTCCAAGGTCGCATGGGCTGCAGGGCAGGAGTGGGCCCCGGGGCCTCCCTAAGGACCATGCCAGTGCCGTGGTTCCTTCCTGAGTCTTGGCTGGTCCTCTCCCGTCTGTCCTACACTTGTTTGCCCCTTTTTGGTTGAATTGTGGGTGTTATTTTAAAATTAAGGGAAGCAGCATTTCGTTAGTTATAGATTCTCTCTCAGTCTGTGGCTTGTGTTTTCATTTACTGATTTCTTTAAAAAAGTACCAGTTTAAAATTTTAGCACAGCAAACTATCTTCTTCTTCATGGTTTATGTGTTTTGCATCTTAAAATAACTCTGACAGCTCCTCTGACTTAAAGCCCATTTTTTCCAGTATTAATATTGCCACACCAGCTTTTTTGAGCCTGGACTAGCCAGTGTGCAAACCCCCTCCACATCTAATCATTCTGTCCATTTATGATTCATATGTTTTTCTCATAAATAACTGATTGTCTTAAAATCCATTTACTTGTGTTCTGAAAATTGGTATATTTGAACATATTTCTAGCCCTTATTTTGTAGTTACACATGATCCTTGGGCGTTTCTTTTCCTACTGTCCCTATGGGATGCTTGCATTTTTCTCTGCAGATCTAATAAAGCTGAAGCCAAGGCTAATCAATATTCCTGTTCTCCCAGAATAGACAGGATCTCAGGACGCTGTAGAAACACACCATCTCCCTCCTCTCTTTACTTCCACGGAGGCTGGGGGGCCCTTTCTAGAAATGCTCCTGACTTGCTTCTGCTGAGGGGTTTCAGTGAGAGCTTCCAGGTTGAGGAGGCACGAAACCCAAGTGAAGTGCAGGCCCCCAGCTAGGAGTTCTTGGGGGGCCTTTCCTGACCCAAGGATCCCAGTACCTGGGATAAATTGCTTTTGGGGGATCTTTGTTTTCCCTGGCTCACTCTTGCACTGAGGATGTTTCCAAATGTTCTACAGTTATAATTTCAAGCATAATTTTACCTTTTTGTTCACATCCTTCATTGCTCAGTTTGGTGCTGTTTTCATAAATTACTAGGGACAGATGAGACAATACTGGGATCAGCTCGCAGAGGGATTAGTAAGGTGCTGGGCCTTGGAAGGTGACCGCCGCTCGGCTGACTGGCAGGCTGTGGTGTGCGCGGAGGCAGCAATGGGGGCTCCCGCACCTCCACCTCCCCGCCCTGCCCCGTCTGCACGCGTGTGCTCACCCGCACGCGCTCCCATGTGTGTGGCGTGGGGGGGCGTGTACGGGGTCTGTGTATGTTCACGTGGTGTGTGTGTCTGCGTGTCCACGTGTGTTTGTGTGTCCGCTGCGCGCGCTCGCGCCCCTGCCCCTCACCGCGCCGCCGCCCGGCTCTGCGCCCTCGGGCTCCAGCCCCGCCGCGTTCAG